CAACACGCTGAATATGGATGACGATCCCGACCTCCTCCTCCTCCTCCTAAGCGGAGAGGGGCCCTATTTGTGGTACATTGAGCTGTCACACCGGCCACGGAATTACGAGGGCTCCCGATGATAACCCGTTAAGCGTACATACGGATGGGCGAACGAGGCGAACGACTGTGGCCAATGCTCTCGACCCCGGGATTTGATCACCGCGAAGCGTTGTACGGCCGGTTTGTAATTCGCACGCGATCTTCGCGTGTCGATACACCCACTTGGAGGGAAAGGGAGGGGAGGAGCGAGGCGCGTAGACGCGTAAAGGGCGACTGCGACGAATTTACGACGAATTTTCTTGCCAGATCGAATGCCAGCTCGCGAATGTAACGCTTTGGTTGGGAGGAAAGGAAAGGTTCCGTGGTGCGATCGGGCACGAGTGAAATTCTAGATGATGGGGCGAACATTAGGAGGAGGGGGGAGATTTAGAGTTGGGAATATCGTTTCAAGGGATCTGGTTACTTTCGTCTTGGTATATTCGAAATAGTTCGAACTGGATGATCCTAGAATCTTCTATGATTATGAACGAAATTTTTAAATGGAGTTTGTTTTGGTCGAGTTATATTCATAATGTTCAGTTTGGTAATTAGGATTATTTTCAATATTTTTTGGAGGTATAATAATAGAGCAGATTTATAAAAATAATTTAATATTCTAATCCAAGAAACCTATAATTTATAATCATGCTTAAAAAAAGTTCAGACTAACTAATTTTGTTAAAATTACAATTACAATTTCGTTTCTTCACCAAATCAGCTATATAAATTCACAACGAAAAAAAAAAAAAAACTACTTCATTTGTCACGAAATGAATAAAACAAAGGACTCAATCACTCGTTCATATAAAAAAAAAACTATTCGAGAACGAAATCGACTATTTCCCCTTTTCTCTTGCACACATACACACACACACACATTTATATCTGATACATCAAACGATCCGGGCTGATGTTTCGCATGCACAAAAGGAGGACGAATTTGCCCCGAATGGTGTGAAACAGTTCGACAGAGGCTGTGAATCATCCCGCGAGCAAATAAGGTTGCGTATCCCGGTTCGCGATGGCCCACGCGCGACTCGTCCCACATACACAAAGACTATATATATATATATATAGTTTTCTGAGGGAAGATCAAAGATTCAAAGCCGTTGGAGCGAGTCGCAGTCGTTCGAGGAGCTCGTCGTTCTAAACGGGTGAGAAATCGACTTCTGTGTCGCTTTATGAAGCTCGATAATTGAGATATTCGAGGATACACACTCGTGCACGAAATAACAATGGATCCGGCCAGGTGTGTTATTCCCCGATATCGATTTTGTACGGGACTACTCCCACAGCCCGCCGAACAGATCGGTTGATTTAATATCGGATGGAGGGTGGACGTATCGGACGTCGTTTCATTCTCTCTACGGGCAATTTGACCTTTCAGCCTGGCTAATAATCGCCTTCCAAAGAAGTTTATCGCCGCCTCCCTTCGACTATGCCAAACAGCCTCCGCCTATAACCGGCCATGCATCCAGTAAGCCAGTGAACTTGGACGCGCGTGACCGAGCGGCGGATCACGGCTATCGGCTATCGTATCGGATTTTTTCACACGCGTGACTCTAGTATTCTTCAGAAAATTACGACCACCCTGTATATATATATATCGTGAGCGGGTATTTTTAAATAATTCGAGATTAAAAATCGAGATCGATGGTTTCGTGAAGATTGTTAAAAATTTGATGATAATATTCCGTCTTTTGCATTTTCCCTTGTAAATTGATCATCGCTTTCAGCCTCGCTCCTTATATATCTCTTCGAGTCATCTCGTGTCGAGATGAGATATTTTTGACGTAGATCCTGTTTTTCAGGTTCGGCCAATCGGAAAAATAATCGGTAAAATATTAATCTCGAGGTCGCGACTTCTTCAACCAACTCCGATCTTTAAGACACGGATCGAAAGAATTACCATTACCATCTCGATATTTCCAAAATTTCCAAAAATTACTTCTCATTCCAGTCGACCGGTCTTGTTTTGGGAGCAAGATACCTAAGCGCCTTTAACAAATGGTTTCGGCCACCGTATCGGTGGATACCGGTTTCATCGCGTGGCCGTCAACGAAAACCAACAGCACGTTTCGCTGTAACAGAAAACCGTACGCGCCAACTTCATGCGCGCGATATTAAAGACTATAATGGCCGGCCATTAATTACCGGTCTCGAGGCTTGGGCCGTTCCACGGGAACCCTTGCAGTACGGTAGTCGGGCATTCGTCTTGGAGAATTCCTCTATCCTACACGTGAGAACCGAACTCGAGCGAAGGGAGGAGGAGGAGGAGGAGGTGAAAGAGTTTATCGTTCGCCTCAGCGGGGAATATAGTATCCCTGGTGACGCACGATCGGGGTTCCGGGAACAATCGTTTGCGAGCATACGCCGACAATTATCCCCTTGTCATCCCCAATTAAGTATGGCGGAATTTATTCTCCATATGCATCCTCCGTCAACGGAAGTCGCGGATACCGATTCATTATTCGAATATTCCTACTCGAAATCCAGTCGATGCAAGTTCACACCCGGATTTCCATCCAGTTTCGCGCCAGTGAATTGCAAATGAGGTGTGTTAAGTGTCTATTAAGTATGTATATATATATATAGATTAGTATAGATTTAACGAGAAGTATTTAATTATTTGAATTATATCGAATTTCAATAATTGTCGGGGGTTGGTTTAAGAGAAGATTTATCCAATAAAAGGAAGAGCAATAAATTCGTGAAAGAATTCGAATTTTTTAAATAACGATACCGCGCTTAAGTAAACTCGAAAATGGAAAATTAAGAGAAAAATAATTATCCTTAACAAATTCATCCTCAGAAGATGTTCAAATCTGAACGAACCTGTTCTATTGATACGAATTGACGAAAGCACGGTAAAAAATACGAGGAAGAAAGAAGAAAAAAGTCATCCTTTATCGTTCTTAACGCTACCCTTATCATCTCGACACTTAAATAATTCATTCCTCTCTCGATTCTCCCCGTCACGTCGAAATTAACGATATATATATCCCGCCACTACGCTAGGAATGAATTCGAAATCAGGTGGACCAGATCGCAACGTTTCCACAAGGGAAGGAAACGCAAGCCTCCTCCTAGTTCCTGCCACGCACAGGGATGGACACCCCTCTCTCCCCTTTCTCCCTCCCCTCTCCCCCTCCCTCGTAAAGCAAATTCGCCTTGACATTCCCGGATTTATGAAGATTTCCAAAGTATCTCGTAAAAAGTGTTTACCACGGCCAAGAATTCCAACCG